TTTAGATCAGAGGAGATTAATGTCCGCCACCGCAATTGAATGCAAAATTTACTATTTGCGCCAAAGTATCGTCAAACTCGGCCGTAATTTACATACGCACGCGCTAGATCTGCGCGATATCAAAGATAAAAAAAAATGGAGAGAAGCGCAGCGACATTAGTTTTCATTTTCATCGTAAAAAGCGGGATTTGAGGTAAAAACGCATTCTCTATGTGCTCTTCAATTAAACGGCGGCATATGACAACGCATCGGATATATCCGAAAAAAAAACCTTTTATCCGTATTAGAAGTGCGGGGGAATATTTTGAGAGGGAAAGAGATAGTTGAAGAGAGAGGAAAGAAAAATAGAGAAGTTTGCGGATGCGTTGTTTATCCTGCGTCGCGATGCCATCCGAAAGTGAAAATTCGTGGGCATCTTATACCTCGATTAATTACGGCCAAAAATGGTCTAAAAACACAATCATTAATTCCGTTTGAAATTGCGACGTATATATATATATATACCGTGACACATATTTATCGTCGCACAACCATCCTTAACCCTTATCCGAACAACCTATTTTCTAAACTTAAACCGCGTGCAATGTTGACTTTTATTTTTTAACAGTCATGTTACAAGAAAATATTACACGTACACAGATATATTTTTTATATAAATTATAAAAATTAGATATATTTTATAAAGTTAAAAATTGATTTCGAGAAGCAATAAGCACAGTTTAAATTCTATTCACATGAGAGATATTTATATATATATCGTCTGCACGCGTTACGATTGGATATCTCAATTGAAATATATATTTATATTTGAAATACTGTTTGAAATATCTATTTGCAGTGATCATAGCTAATTCAAATATGTATCTTAAAAAATTATAGAGATATATTAATATATATATAAAATAATATTTATATGGCAAATGTGTTATTTCCTATTTTACAAAGAGATTACCGCTAAAAAATAAAATTGTACATCATATTTCAATAAAAATTCTTTAAATCTATTTGAAAGAAAAGAATTTCACGTCTAAAGTCATTGAAACTTTCCTAAAACTTTTCATGTTACTGCGTTCTTCCTCTCTTTTACGATCTTATTTTTCACTATTATTAAATTTCGAATCAACTTTCTCTTCATCGTAACAATAATGTATCGAGACGTTAGTACTTTCTTTAATGTATTTGTGTCATTTCGTTATTTATTATGAACTGTGTTTATACAGATATATTTCTCTATTCATATACACTTAATTTTATAACTATCTTGAAGCGTGTTAAAATAAAAAGCATCTCGCGCGCGTGACTCTATTTTTTTCATCTCCAAATTTTTAATGATATGTCACCGTGCACAATGCGAAACGTGCACGAGTTACGAAACGCTGAGAGAGCTGCGAGAAGGTTGAACATAAAACACTCTACGCAAAGTTCAACGGGGATCCCTGCCGCGCCCCTCAATTAATTACCGAGCGGGGAATCGAAAATGCAGAAAGCCAGATCGTTTGCTCGGCTTCATCCGTCAAACGTTTCGAAAAGTTTTATTATCAAGACCGTAGTTAATGCAGTTTAAACCTCGCCCGCTCCGCCGAGGTGCCGCGAAAGTTTCACCATCAAGCTAACTATTACAAGCTAGAAAACGAGATCCTCCAAGGAGAGCCGCTCGCAATGGGAGAGCGAGCGGGGGTGAAAAGAGAGGGAAGAAAGAGTAAAGCACCGTCGTCGTTGATTCCTTTATTTAGGACAAGGACTTTTATCACACCCCGCGACGACTCGAATCGCGAACAATTATATTAAGCTCTCGTTCACGGTTGCGCAATTTTGCGCGAAAGAGAAAAGGGAGTGCTCTCTCTGTCTCTTCGTAAATTTACTAAAACGAGCTCGCCTTGCTTACGCTCAGTGACGCGCCCCGGAAGGAAAATTACTTTCGGATTCGTGCTTAAGTGAGAGAGCCGGATATACCGGGTTCTTATCCACGACGCTGTGATATTTGTGTGTCGCCGCGATGCGCCCTTAAATCAATATCGTGTTACTAGGTGAATGTTATATGTATATATAAATGAATGTGTAATACGTCAGTCAAATTACTTGTGGATTCTGTTATACGCGAGTCAATCGAGCGGACTGCATAGCTTCGAAATTATCGCATCACCGCTCGTGGATTTATCGAAATTTGTTGCACCGGCTGCGCTTTATTAATTTCGTTTTCGACGCTCAAGCGTGCCGGCTTGCGAGGACGGAATTACGCTTCCTTGCTCATTTTTTTTGAGCTTTGTGAATCGTTGGCTATTTCTATTAAAATCGTGATG